ACGCAGGCAGGCAGGCAGGCAGTCAGGCAGGCAGGCAGGCAGGCAGGCAGGCAGGCAGGCAGGACTTAAAGAACACCAAAGGCACTCTATGGAAATGAGAGAAAACAGATTATGCACTAGAAGATTTATATTTTTCAATGTAATTATTAGATTATATAGAGCTTTTTGATACCAAATTAAATCCATCAGCAAGTAATAAATCCAACAGTTGGATTATAGCACTTTAATAATTAGCAAGTCAGTTTAAAATAAGCAGAACTATATTTCTAAATAAATACCCTACATATTTGTCAACATGCTCAAAATTCCTTTTATAACAAATGATACTTAGAATTGTTTTAATACACAGAAAGTTGCCTTGTATTCACATACTTGCTAAAAGTGCATAAATGTTGCCCGAAATAAGACTGTTATCACCTTCTCTCAAATTCCTCTATCTTGTGACAAACAAACATATACAATAGCCTGTCTATGACAAAGAGCAAATATCTAGATTTATTTATTTATTTATATATCAAATCTGTCACCGCCCATCTCATCAAAAAGCAACTCTGGACAGTTTACAGAAGAGATAAAATCAATTAAAATACAATATAAAACCATCTTAAATAATAAATAAATAAATTCCAAGGGATGATAAAATTGGCGAACGGCTCCGGGAGTGTCATTAGGGTGCCAGCCACCCCCAGGATTGATTACAACTCTTGTTGCCCCATGCAAGCTGACAGAGCCAGGTCTTAAGTCCTTTCCAGAAAACCAGGAGGGCAGGGGCCTGCCACACCTCTTGGGGGAGAATACTGATTGATACCTATAGCAAGATACATTACAACAATAAAAGTACTCCAATATTTTTCTTTCTGCAGATAATAAAAGGACATGTAAACTTAAAAGAAACCAGAATAACACTGCTGTCCCAACTAAGTAACGCATGAAGCATGCTAGTCTTTTTATGAATTGGCTTACTTTTTCTCTTTTTCTCTCTCTTATAAGTCTATTAAAAGAACCAGCACAGACATAGTGGCAATAGGATATTGAGTAAGAATGGAAAGGAAAGAAGAATGCAGGAAATCAAACAGCATAAATACAAGATATATCTAACTGTTGCATAACAAGGGCAGCAGAAAGTATATTGAAATCTGTTGATGGGTTCCTGGATAATCTATAATTGCTATAAGGTTCCAGAGTCACTATTTTGCACCTGACTCTGGTAATTTTTAGAGATACAACTAAAATACATAAGCATCCCTACCATCTTGTTAATATTTTCAATCATATTAAATTCAAAAGTTGCAGCAACAAGTATTCACCCATAATGAGTCACATAGCAAAGAAGGTCAAGAAGTAGCAAGGTATCAAATGCTATTGACTTCTGGCATAGCTGTTCAGGGAACAGTTTAACAGTTCTGTAATATTAACTTTCACAAACAGGAAGTAGTACAAGCAAGTGCAAATCACGATTTCTGAAGCTATTTCATTTTTAATCCTGAACTGCAGTAAACTAGAATACACTAGAAATATAAAGATAAGAATAATTCCATTGCACCAATATCCAAATTGACGCTTTTATATTTTAATTCCCTACTTCAGGTATGTACCGTATAGTTTTCTTTTACTATCTGTTACATAAACAGAACTCCAGTATTTATATGATCAGCAGGAGGATTCTTTGATAGCAGTGTATTATTTCATGACAGTTCTTAAGTTTTGTCAGTTTCAATTTGAGTTGTCAGTTTGAGTTACTTTCAAAAACTAATTAGGGCCATAAAAAATTTTCACATCACTTTATTCATTAATGTGATCAGCTATCAGTTCCACCTTTGAAATTCTGTATCTCTATCATTTTTGCAACTCCTAAAGTTCTCAGCCAACATAGCTATTGGTAACAACTTTAAGAGTTGCCCTCAATAGAACAGAATATATGCTGCTCAGGGTTGAAGTCCTTGGTGCTCTTTTGCTTGCAAACATTTCACTACCCAACTAGGTAACATCATGATGTTATCTAGTTGAGTAATGAAATGTCTGCAAGCAAGCAAACAAGCTCAGAGAGCACCAAAGACTCTAGAGTTAACCTACACATCTGGAGAGTGCCCAGGTTGGGGAAGGTTTCTTAAGGCAGGGATGACCAGCTTCTTTCAAGTTGAGTCACATCTGGTCTCTCTGGAAACTGAACTTTGAAAAATGAACAGCATCAAGGTAAAGAACTAGGCAATACCAGAACAAAAGCTGTATTTGATTTAAATAAATTAAAATCAAAATATAATTAAACACAATTCATTTTTACTCACTATATATTGAAGTATCTACATTAAAGCTTACAAGTTGGCTTATGTTATACATTAAAAATAACAACTTGGCAACAACTTTTGCAGGGATTCTGATGGTCACCTTCATGGATTTTGGGGCACTAAGACAGCCACATACCACAGCAATGGCATTATATGATGAATCAGAATGGATTCTGATATTTTAATAGTTTCCAATATGCTTTCTGCAGTTAACAGAGCGCCCTCCCCACCCCATCTTTAACTTACTGCATTGTCAAGATACAGGACACTAATGGCTTTTGATCTTTAGAATAAGGAGAAAGGAAGAGAGCTTATTCCCAAAGAGCTGCAGCTCACAAAACATTTTGTACTCAAGAATAAATTTAAAAAAAAATTACCCCACCTTTCTTATTTTTATAAATAACTCAAGGCAGCGAACATAACTAATACTCCTTCCTCCTCCTATTTTCCCCACAACAACAATCCTGTGAGGTTAGCTGGGCTAAATGTGTGTGACTGGCCCAAATTGCCAAACACTAATATACAAATTTGCAAATTATAAGCACTGTTCAATGGTGGTAAGAATTCCTTTATTTTTAATGATAGAACTAGTCTCAGAGAAGGCACCTACTGATACTTTTCATTTTAATTCCCACTACAAAACTTAAGCAATAATACATTTGTTAAACTTTAAAGAATTAATTTATTTAACAGAAATTGTAATGATAAATTAAATTTGCATATGACTCAAATGCTGAATTATGTGAGAGAATGTTTGGGGGAAATTGCATATTATAATGGATTCCTATAAGAAAAGACAGGCTAACAGTTCATTACCTACATTTCCTGACCACAACTTCCATAGTCTTGACCACTGGCATGCTGACTGAAATTATAGCTCAAAAATATGAAGGGCATCCAGTTGGCTATTCATGTTGAACAACCACTTGTATTATTATATATATGGCAGACAGACTGATCAATGAAGAATGATGCCCCTTGGAAAGAAAACTGTCTTCCAAAACAAGGGAACAGTACTTTAAAAGTTATGAGGTGATTTCTGTTATCATACAATTCAATTCACATAGCAGTGCTCTTTACCATTTTCTCTAAATGTTAAGTACCTTATATGTCACAATCATTAAATACAAATTAAATTTTCTCTATAAATTTAAGAGAAGTTGTATATGGTGCAGAACTACAACCAATTCAAAAATAATTCAAATTATTTCTGGATATTTTGATATTAAGAAGAAACAGAATACAATTATTACAAAAATTTACGAACAATCAGACCACCAGAGACTGACTCAACTGTAGCATACTGCAGGGTGGAGAGAGGTCTTGAGTTTTACCATCCACTCCAACTCGTTCCCCAGTCTCTCATTTTGAGCAGTACTGTGATGTTTTGTGATCTGCAGCAGCTAGTTGATGTCACCTACTGACTGAGTTTATGAAAAAGGCCAGCTGTGTATCGTTTTCATTTCCCATGATCAGCTGTACTGTTTTCAGAAAGCAGTGTCATCACTCTTACAAGCACTTATGATTTTT